AATCTATATCAATAGAACACTGGAACTTATTCAGAGTGTATATATTGTGCTCAATGATGTTCAACAAATCAGCATGGTAATTTTTGAAAAACCTTTCAGTGTTTGTTTGGACTGAGTTTTGTCTCTTCCTTGGCTGTAATGCTAATAGAAAAAATATGAAAAAAATAGTTCTTTGTCCTATATGTTAGATCTATGAATTCAGAATAAGAATGAAATGCTATTTCAATTAAAGCTGCCTGAGATTTTTATTCTGTTTTTTTTTCCCTGATAGGGTCTTTTGTCAATCTTTCAGCAAATAGCTGGTCAGTAGCAATCAGCATGGACTGCTATCCCAACTGAAATGAAAAAATGAGGAAGTCAGGGACTAATGTCAAGTGCTTTGTTTCCTGAGATGCTCAAAATGTTTTAAACTTTGTTCTGATTTTAATAATTTCATGTTTTGTTTCACTATAATTTTATCTTCTGAGTTGGGCATATGTCTAGTTTTCAAATTTTTATTGTTTATTACTTTAGCAGTTTTTACTGAAACATAAGAAGAACTTACTATATATGAATTAATAATATGAATCATGAGTGTCCATCTTTGTGTCTCCACTAATTGTAAGTCTATTGACTTACAAACACTCATGCCACTATAAAAGGAAGAGAATTCAGAGATTTGGGGAGGAATCATTCTAATGTGGTATGACACTTTTCATAGTGAAGGCTACATTTCCCCCTCTTTGAGTAGCATGTTAATGACAAAAGAAATGGCGACAAGACAAAGAAATGGACACATCCAAGACAAAAACTAAAGTTAATTCATTTAAATTATATTACATAAAATTCACAAAAGACAATAGGATTATATTCTATGTATCACATGTTTTGACTTTTTCATACAATAGAAATTATAGTTTGGTACAGCTTCTTCAGGAACTCTGGCTGCTGTTCCCAAGCTTTCCAAAAACTATGTTTAGGAATGCTGAGGCTGAAGACTAGGTAACCTCATTCTACAATGTGTGTGTGGGGGGGTTCCATTTGTTTTATATCCCACCCTGTCCTTCTATTCCTCCTCTTCTCTCTCCTATTTTCCCTCTCACACAAAATCTTATCAAGCAGAGCTGGCCCCAGCCACTCCAGAGAATGACATTATTACACAATGCCATTCCCAGGGGCTATTTTTCAGCAGGATTAGGAAGATGTCTTCTCTGCAAAAACTGCTGATTTCAGCCTAGTGCCTATTGCAAAACCCCCAGAGGCTTCTCAAGAGATGATGATGATGATGATGATAGCTGAAATTACATTTCCTCTCTTGTCCTTTTCAGGATGTCTTTGAAAACAAACCCTCAGTGCCAGAGTACAAAGTGGCCTATGTACAGAAGTCCCGCTTCATCCTTCTTCACTATAGCATCTTCAAAGCCCTGTGGGACTGGCTCATCCTCCTGGCTACTTTCTATGTGGCAGTAACTGTTCCCTACAATGTCTGCTTCACTGACGCTGAGGACAGCTTAACAGCTGCCCGCAGCACCATCGTCAGTGACATTGTAGTGGAGATGCTTTTCATTGTTGGTAAGGATTTAAGACTGGGTTGGGGGGAGTCAAATATATATTAACAATGGAATGAAAGGATACATCTGAGCAGATATTTGAAATGGGCATCAACATTCCTAGAACAGAGATCAAATCATGTAGTATTCTTTATTTCTAGAACATTCTTCAATAACTCCCATAATTAGCTCCCATAATTCTCCCAACCCACTGGGTATGGGAATTCTGAGCGTTGTAGTCTTAATTTTGCTTAATGTTGCTGAGTTTGAGAAACACTGTTCTAGAATAAGAAACAGTCAGCTCCCAGCAGTGGATCAAAACAAGCTTTTTGAGGCATGTCAAAGGCTACTGTGCTTTTCAAAAATGGAGAGGGACAGAATCTCTTTTGGAAATCTGGATGCAGAGATTGTAAAGGTTCAAATGGATGCCTTAAGCATTTTCAAGACTTAAGACAATTATATTGCCTCTAAAAGCGATCGAACCTGAGGAATAAAAAAGAGCCCTACATTTTTCATCTGGCGTGTTTCTTTTTTTCAGACACAAAAGAGATAATGGCAGACTTCATTTTGACTCAGAGCCATACTTTTTAACCATCCTGCATCTGCTCTGTACAGTAATGCTGGATAAAATATAATAGAAAAACAAAATTGGTAATTGAGTAATTATTACCTTTTTAATAATAGTAGTTAGATCATTAAATTGTGCAGTATTCTCTGATCAGAACAATACTGTTATTATCAAATGTTAAGTGTCTAGCACAGCCTTGTACCAGCCCTATACCTACATTGTAATGGAATATACAATGTTTGACCACTGACTAATGCTTTTAAGTATTACCCCAAACAGCCAGGATGTCCCTATATAGAATATGAGTGTTGGACTTAGTGAGGCTTTTATTTTAGAGAATCTTCAAACTTTCACAATTCTCCATGTTTTCAGTATTTTCTACCTCATAGAGAATTAAACGTATGTTAAACAAATTTCAATATGCCAATAATAGAATTCTAATATTCCAAAGATATATATCTGTGATTCCTAGAAACCGAAACACAATCTCCATCTTCTACTGCTTATGAGTTTCCTAGACCAAGTTGGGCAATGCGGTAGAACAGCCATAAGATCCTGGGCAAAATGCAATTAATATAAAAAGCTACCCCGAAAGCACTTTGTGGTATTGAATCTACACAGCCCTATGTACTCCTATTCTGCATATCAAATGTCCCTTCCTGTAGAACATGCTGTTATGCAGAATTGGTACTGGCTAATGTCTAAGCGCCCTCTTTTCTTTTTTGACAGATATTATTTTGAATTTTCGGACCACATATGTTAGTGAATCAGGCCAGGTGGTTTATAATAAGCGTTCAATTTGCCTCCACTATGTGGCGACATGGTTCTTCGTGGACTTAATCGCAGCCTTGCCCTTTGACCTCCTCTATGCCTTCAATGTTCCAGTGGTGAGTAATGCTTTACATCTGCTCCTGGCAATGAGCAAAAGCACTCCATAAGAAAGGTCACAGTCAAATGATGAATTTCCAAAAAGAGAAGCCCATTCAGAGGCACCAGCTTTTAAGCTACATGGCCAAGCAGATGCTTTATAATTGTACAAGGTCAAAGATGTTATTCCTGTAAAGTGGCCTTCACATGATAAGGTGCCAAAATAATGGTAAATACCAATATCTTCTCTGCTAAACTAAATATATAAGGAAGGGTGGATCAATATCTAGTAAGTCCTTTTTTATGTTTTATATTTTTATTAAAATTTGTTATGAGATAAAATTTTATTGATGAGACTTATATACCGCTTTTAAGTGCAAGCACTCTCTAAGCGGTGTACACCAGTAAGCAATGTATATATATATTTACATTGCCCCCAACAATCTGGGTCCTCATTTTACCTACCCCAGAAGGATGGAAGGCTGAGTCAACCTTGAGCCGGTGAGATGCAAATAAAAAAATCAGGAAAGATAAAGAAGAAAGAAAAGAGGACAAAGAAAAAGAAAGAAAGAAGAACGTGGTGACTTCCAACTTTTTTCAATGCAGTAGAATTAAAAAAAAAGTTACAATCTCAATCTTTTGCTTTACATTTCTATCTATTTCAACCCATTTCTATAAACAACAAAGTCAATGTAGTCATCATAACCTAAAATTAAAGTGTCATTATTTTTCAAGTTCAAGCACAAAGTCCAGAGATGGTTTCCCAATAGAAACAAAATTAGATGGATTCTTCTCTTTAATTAAAATAGTCAATTTTGCCCTCTTTGCCAATTCCATTACCTTTACCATCCATTCTTCTGTTGTGTGAATTAGTGTGTCTAATATCTAGTAAGCCATGAGTAAAAGAAAATCCATGGAACATGTTAAAGGCTTCAACAGTAGTAAACACACTGTACTTACAGACATTAATTGCAATGCTCTTGAAGAACAGATCATGTTATTAGCTCTTACCACAGGGATAATCTGCAGCCAAGCAGCTGCTCTCACTCAGGTGTTTTTTCAGTTTGCCAGCCAAGTTTTTATTTTAGTGCATTCCACTTCATTCATTCTTCTCCTCCACCATTCAGCCCACTGCATTTCATACTCATTGGGCATATTCTCCCCTCACTGGAAACAATAGCTTTTTGTTTGTCCTTCCACAATAGGTTTCATGTCCCCTTTAGAAAGAGATTATTCAGAAGATCTCTGTGCCCCCTGAATTTACCAACACATTCTTTTTAATATGATAAATTGACTATGTCAAAACTCAGTTGAAAAATCAGTTAATCATTAGTTTATGTGACAGATAAGTCTATATTTTAAAGACTCATAAATAAGGCTAGTATATATGGAAGTGAGGTTCTGGGGGAGGTGCATCTCTTATACATCAGCTATTTTGCTATTAGAAGTAGCTGAAAAATCTATTTCCATTAAGGCGAAGGTAAAGCCTTACCACCAACTCAGGTGTGGAGAAAAATGACCTAAACCTCTCAACATCTTGCCAGAGCTGAATTTGCTTAGACAGACATGATGCACAAAGGGCCTGCTGAAAGTCTCTCACCTCTGCAGAGATGAGAGATGGTAGTCTTTTCTGGAATGGCACCCACTTTATGGAATACTGTCTGTCAGGAACTTTTATTTCACTGTTCCTTCAGTAACAGCTGCCTGCTCATGCCTACCTTATAATTTAATAAGGGCTTTATCCTTGCTTTTTCGTAATTATGTTTTAGGTTTGGTATAGATTTGGGCTCCTCCTTCTCCTCTCATTTGATGTTATTGTTCTGCCCCAAGTCCACTGGGTTTGGGATAGATTACTGTGAAAGAAAATAAAATAAAAATTGTCGCATGAAGTTATCCTATTGGAAAGAGTAATTACTACTCTTGCAAAATCCCAGACCTCCAGCTTAGATTTTAACTATGCAGCCCTCTCTTTTCTAATACCCGCTCGACCTAAAGATCTGTCCCACTTTAGGTGATTTTGCTTTCAGGGGAAATGTTGAGGCTGAGGCTTTTTATACTAACTCAGCACATTATCTGAACAAGAAGTGGACTTACTTTGATCATAGTGTGCTTTATGAATAAGCACATGTACATAATTGGACATAAGATGTAAACTTGATTCTTGAAATGAGATTCAAGTGATAATGAATGGCTCACCCTCATGCCCACTTTTTCAGAAAACTTCAATCTTCCTGCTGACCCATTTTATTTTGTTAAGGGACAATTATTGTTTCATGCACACTAAACTAGTCAGCTTTTAGCTCAACATTTTTCTGCATCATTGAATTCCTCTGAAGTGTTCATATTTCCTTCTTGTTCACAAGTGCAGCTGTCTGGGTTACAGAATGATTAGTACTCAGGAGAATAAATCATTGTCTATATGTTGTATGTAGCCATCTACTTGTTTCACTTGTTTCTATCTGTGAAATATAGTGAGTTTTGGGCACATATCAAAGAATGTGTTAAAGTGTTTTTTTTTTTAATTTCTCAAGAACCAGTCAGCAAATTGGCATTGTCTTCTTTAATAATATATCTATACCATGATTGCAGCCTAAGTTTTGTATGTTCCTCAAAGCCCGGAAAAAAATCAGAGAAGTTGAGCATTTTGAAACTCAGCATTGAACTGACAAGATGTTTCCAGCTGGATATCAGAGCAGCTCTAGACATTGTTCTGATTCCAGCTGAACTCCATTTAGAGTCTTTTCTTCTGGCAAATCCCACATCTCCTAGCTCCTTCTTTTTCTTGCCTTTCATCTCTTTTTGGGGTTCTCATTAGGTGGGCATGTTGAGGTGTGCATGCCATTAGGACCAAGCACTTGAAGCCTTCAATACAACCTCTTGGCTAATGAGATTGCTGGGTAACCTTACAACACAGAGGACAAAAGAGGATCAGTAATGTCCAGTATCTTACTCTCCAATCATGGCTTATCAGTTTTACCTTGTCTTTCAGATGACGGTGACCTGGCTTTAGTCCAGTGGTACCATTTGTGCTACACCACTAGGAAGAGCTGTGAGGGCCATGGTCCAGAATTAAACTCATCATGCCCACCCACCCCTGAGAAGAGCTTGGGGCATCCTAAAATGAAATTGAGTTGGAAATTGTAAAAAGTGGCATTTGGATCCCACAAGTCAATGATTTCTTAGACAGGCAATAAATTATGGTTTAAAAATATAGTAGCTGAGTTTACACATCAACCCAAAATCACCACATTAATGTTTAATCTTATGCATGAACTTTGCGGTTACTGACTTGTGACCACTTCTTCAGCTTTGTGACCAGGTGGAGTTTTGGCTAAATGTTCTAGTACAGAAGTAGGCAACCTCAGCTCTTTTATGACTCGTGGACTTCAACTCCTAGAATCCTGAGCCAGCCATGCTGACTCAGGTATTCTGGAGTTGAAGTCCACGAGTCATAAAAGAGCCAAGGTTGCCTACCCCTGGTCTAGTGGCTTGTTCCTTTATGTCAATCTGTTTTTCTCTTCCTGCTTTTCCCAGACATACCTGGTACACCTGTTAAAGACTGTTCGTCTCCTGCGCTTGCTCCGCTTGCTCCAGAAACTCGACCGCTATTCCCAGTACAGTGCCATGGTCCTAACCTTACTCATGTCAATGTTTGCCCTGCTAGCTCACTGGATGGCTTGCATCTGGTATGTCATCGGCCGGCAGGAGAGCAACGACCCTGTGACCTGGGACATTGGTGAGCTTAGGGTATGACTGGGAAGCCCTTGTCATACAAATCCTGTGTGCATTGCACTAAACAGAATCAGATACATCTCTTCGCCGAATTCATAGCCAGGACCGTCAGTATTTCAGCAAGATAGAATCTAAACTTTTGAAAGAGTTTGAATGAAACGCAACATTTTTAGGGCACTGGGTTGAAACCACCTTTGCCAAGTTTTTGCCAAACTGTGGCAACCTAGTTGCACAAGTATCCAACTTAATTTGATTTAATCTAGGGAAAAGCAGCTTTGGAGCATAAGAACATTAATGTCAGCAACATCAACAATACTTCATGCTCGCACATAGACTCCCATGAATAGTGATGCAACTTTTATTATTATTTATTTATTTACAGTCAAAAGGACCCAAATTACAAACATAATCTAAACTTGACATTGAATAACAAGTAAAATATTTAATAAATAATATATTATACACTTAAAACCCCAGGTCATTAATTTGTTACTAATACCATGTTTTTATAGTCAACGATCTGTTGATGCTGTAATCTTAGGATTACAGAGAGCCATTTGGGTATAATGGTTGAAATGCTGGCCTAGAAACCAGGAGGCTGTGAGTTCTAGTCCCGCTTCAGCATGAAAACTGACTGGATGACTTTGGGCCAGTCAGTCACTCTCTGTCTAACCTACTTCACAGGGTTGTTGTTGTGGGGAAAATGGGAGAAGGAAGGAGTATTATGCAAGTTCACCACCAAGATACTTAAAAAGTAATAAAGTGCTTTTAAAGATATAATAAGTAAATATATTTTAATCTGCAAGTGATTTTTTAAAATATATTCCTGGTTTAAATATTAAACAGGACAGATAGTTTCCTGCTGAAGACTCTTAAAAATTTACAATACAATAAAAATATGACCCATCATTTCATGATCAGCAACATTATAGGGATAAAATCTTTGAGAGATGGGAATTTTTTTAACTATATAACTATATCTACCATATAGCTTACTATACACTGAGTAACATGGGACTTTGCATGGTGTATGTCAAAATCTGCCACATGCCAAGCTTCTTCTTATGATGAAAGTCCTATCCATTTTGATCAACTGAAATATGGAATTAAAAAAATGATTGATGATCTAGCATTTAACTTGCTATTCTGCTTTGACAAGACAATTGTTTAGGCAGAACTCTGAGACTTTCATCCTCTGAATCTCAAGTTCTAAGGTGCCTTATTATACTTAGTATAACTTTTGGATGTGTTCACATGTTGACTTTATCAATATGGTTTGTTTAGCTTATCATGTTGTATGAATGCAAATAATTTTTATTTTTCTAACAAGCCACAACCAAGTGAATCATGGCCTGGTATATGTAAAGCTAGTTATTGTAGGTAATTCTACAAACCATGGTAAAAAATAAACCAGAATTTAAAACAGAAGCTTTCTTTGATGATGTCAACAAAAATAAATTAAAATATTATGTTAAGGTAAAGCCAAACAAATTATATTTCAATTTTAAAAATGATACTAGCTATACAATCTCTGAACTCTTGTCTACCCAAGAGGATTAACCTTTCATTGTGCCCAGCAGGCTGGCTCCATGAATTGGGCAAACGAATTGAGGCCCCCTATGTCAACATCTCTGTGGGTGGACCATCCATCCGCAGTGCTTACATTGCCTCCCTGTACTTCACCCTCAGCAGCCTGACCAGTGTAGGCTTTGGCAATGTCTGCGCCAACACAGATGCTGAGAAAATCTTTTCTATCTGCACCATGCTTATTGGTGGTAAGTACATCCTGTGTATGTAAATATTTTTCTTCTCTTATGGTCTAGTACAGGGTATCAAACTGCCGGCCTATGGGCTGGATGCATCATCCAGAAGCCACGCCCACCCCATTGCCGACAATGGCAAAACCATCCCGATATGTTGCGTGACATCATGTGATGTCACAAGTTTGACATGTCTGCTCTAATAGGAGAAAAATTGGCACTGGCACCTAAAACCATCTTTCCCAACTTAGATGTTTAGACTACAACTTCCAAAGTCTCAGATATGATTCCAACTATGCAAGAGCAGTTGTGGAAAAAAAAGACAATGAGAAAGGGAAGCTCTGTTAAGTTACATCAGTGTTTCTCAACCTTGACAATTTTAAGGCATGTGGACTTCAACTCCCAGAATTCCACAGCCAGCATTGCTGGCTGTGGAATTCTGGAAGTTGAAGTCCACATGCCTTAAAATTGTCAAGGTTGAGAAACACTGAGTTACATCATAGTCCTGCATCTAAATGATTAAATTAAGCCTCTGTAATCCAAAACATTCTACAGGTAGTCCTCAACTTACAACAGTTCATTTAGTGACTTTCAAAGTTACAGTAGCAGTAAAAAAAAGTGACTGATGACTGTTTTTCACACTTACAACCATTGTAGCATCCCCATGGCCACATGATCAAAATTTGGATGCTTGGCCACTGACTCATATTTATGATGGTTGCAGTATCCGAGGGTGACGTGATCATCTTTTGCAACCTTCTTAGAAGCAAAGTTAATGGGGAAGCCAGATTCACTTAACAACCATGTTACTAATTTAATAACCACAGTGATCCACTTAACAACTGTGGCAACAAAAGTCATAAAGTGGGGCAAAATTCACTTAATAAATGTTTCACTTAGCAGCAGAAATTTTGGGCTCAATTGTAATCCATATTAGCAAAGAGAAAAGAAGAGAGAGAGAGAGAGAGAGAGAGAGAGAGAGAGAGAGAGAAAATAAGGAAGGGCTATTCCTTTCATGCCAGGTTTCCTTGAAGCAGCTCTTGTAACTGTTGAAAGCAGCTCCTATTAGAAGTGTCATTCACTAATCCAAAGAAATGCTTGTCCTCATTTTTCCTCTTTGCTTCAGCTCTGATGCATGCCGTGGTCTTTGGCAATGTGACAGCCATCATACAACGCATGTACTCACGGCGCTCCCTGTATCATACCCGCATGAAGGATCTCAAGGATTTCATCCGTGTCCACCGCCTGCCCCAGCAGCTCAAGCAGCGTATGCTGGAATACTTTCAGACCACATGGTCTGTCAACAATGGCATTGATGCAAATGAGGTGGGTCAACTCATTCCCTTAATTTCCTAGAGGGAGATTGGGAGGGAACATTGTCTAATGGCTAAAGAGGACAGCATGAATTCAAGAGGCCTGAATTTGTCATCTGTTTATTTGCAAGAAGGAGCAGGCTTTACAATTTCAAATATCAAGCCAGTGTAATAGCTCTTGACAGATTGGAAGAGTCCATAATTGTGAAATCTTTAGGAATATAAAAGATTGCTATTGAAACGATACAAATTCAGAGAAAAGCACTACTTATCTTGTGCATCACTGGTTTATTTTAATATAGCTTGCGCAAAAATAACATTTCCACATCAGCACATCAATCTTAGCCTCTTTTAATGTGTCCAGACTCTAGTATCAATTCGCATTATAGTAACTCTGAAACAAATCTTGGCTTTTACAAAATGTCTGAGGTAAGCATAATTTAAACAAAGCCCTAATTTTGGAAACATGAGAGATAAAATAAAAGCAGAGGACAAAATTAAAGATATAATGTAGATTCTAATTTTGCTTACAGTAATGTTTCTCAGCCTTGGTAGTCGATGTGTGGATTTCAGCTTCCAGAATTCCCTAGCCAGCATGCAGGCTGGACATCTAGGACAGGGGTGACAAACTGCTGGCCCATGGGGTGGCTGCGTCATGGAAAAACCACACCCACCCTATTGCCAGCAATGGGAAAAAAATCCGTGATATGTCACGACATGTCATGTGACATTGCGAGTTTGACACCCCTGTTCTTGGAGTTGAAATTCATGCATCGTCAAACTGCCAAGAATGAGAAACATTGGCTTAGAGCAATAGTAGTAGAGGAAGAAATGTTGCATGTTTTTTCCTGGAGTAAAAGCATCTTTTGAGAGATGGATTTTAGATCAGAAAAACAGCAAAAAGAATTAAAGGGTTTTCTTCCAGAGTAGTTGTTTGCACACCTGTTCAGAGTTCTTTTTTTTTTTTTTTGAGGAGTCAAGAGTTCCCAAATTCTTTGCCCTTACCCTTCCAAGTCTCTTCTAATCAAAATCTAATCATTCCTGCTTCACATCTCTTTTAAAGAGATTTTCAAGATAAAGAGATGAATGGATGACATGTTATTCTCTTCTTGGCTTCAGAAATTTAATCTATTTGCCCCAAGTTTTACTGTCATTTTTTTAATGATGAATTATTAGACTTTCAACAATTATACCCCACCCACATTTTTCCAGCTCCCATTTTTTGGATTCTGGACTACAGCATATTTTTACATTTCTTAGACTTTTCTCCCTGAGTTTTCATCAACCCCACACAAGAGAGAATAAAATCAGCTGCTCCTTATTCATTTATTTAAAACACTTTCATTCCCATCTGAAATATGAAAAATGGATTAAAGGCAAATATTTTTAAAAAAGCTCCCTCTCTGTATAAAAGGAAGATGATGGTGGAAGTAAATGAAAAATAGAACCCATCAAGCTTAAGAACAAGTTCTTAAAGAATAACAATGATTTGTGTATCAGATTTTCTCACCCAATGCACGTTTGTTCAACTCTTAGCAATGGCCACATAGGAAGGGAAAGGGAAGAGTTTTTTTTTTTGTATTACCGGTAATTTTTTTTTATTTTTTCCATTTATACATTATAAAAATTACAATACAATTTTGAAATAAAATAAATTCATAACCATTGGTGTGACCTGCCCACTCCCCCCAGGCTGCGTCCACCCTCTCTTAAAACGTTCCCTACTTCCCTCCTCTTTCTCACCTCCCATCCTACTCTCTTCCCCTCCCCCTCTCCTCTCACTGCCCTACTTCCTCTCTACACCTTCTCTCCTCTCATCCCTATCAGACCCATGAATGCAGCATAAGGGGAGTGCCCAGGCCACACCCCTATAAGCAACCATTATCTATATTAGACTTGCCCCCCACTTTTCCTTCCTCCCACCCCCAACCCCCCTCCCTTCACTTCCCAGAGCAGAATATAGGGTTAATAATAAGAAAATTTATAATAATAAAAAAAGAAAGAAAAAGAAAAAAAGGAAAAAGAAGAGAAAAAAGAAAATATCATACTTAACCTTTAACTCCAATAACCTCTAAAACAATTATCTATAATATTTACTATAATATTCATTCATAAAATAAATGAAACTTTTTAGTTCCATACTTTTTCTGACTATAATCTATCCATCTTCTCCATACAGTAATATATCTTTCTTGTGTATGATCCTTTAAATAAGCAGAAATTTTTGCCATTTCTGCAAAACTAGATAGTTTAAATATCCATTCTTCTAAAGTAGGCAAAGAATCTTTCTTCCAGTATAAACCTACTAATAGCCTTGCTGCAGTTAATAAGTTCAACATCAAAATAGTTTCTTTATCATTTAAGTCCACGAAAATACCCAATAAAAATAGTTGAGGAGTAAACTTTATCTTCCTTCTAAAAATCTTTTGAATGTTCCACCAAATCATAATCCAAAAAACCTTTACCTTTTTGCAATTCTACCAAATATGGAAATATGTCGCATCTTTATTACCACACCTCCAACATTTGGGCTGTATATTAGGGTACATACAAGATAATTTTTTAGGATTTAAATGCCATCTATAGAACATTTTATAAAAATTTTCTCTCAAATTTTGAGCTTGTGTAAATTTAACATTTCTAATCCAAATTGTCTCCCATAAGTCCAATGAAATCGGTTCCTGTATATTCTGAGCCCATTTAATCATACAGTCTTTAACCAATTCTGTTTCCGAGTCTAACTCTAATAAAACATTATAAATTCTTTTTATATGAGCCTGACTCTGATTTTTAATCTGAATAACCAATTGTTTATCTTCTAATGTTATTCCCTCTTTCTTATCCACAGTCCATCTATCCACTATTTGTAGGTATTGAAATCATGACTGTAGAATATTTTCTTGCCTTAGTACATCTAGGGATTTGAAATGCCAATTCGAACCAGACCAAATTAACAATTCTTTATACGAGATTTTATCAAAATTTGTCCCTTTGGAAGTTCCCTCAATTGCATGTCTGGGAATCCCCCAGATAGATATTTTATAATTTAATCTATAATAATACTTTTTCCAAACACGAAGTAGGGCATTCCTCAAAATATGTGATTTAAAAGTCCGATCGACTTTCTTATTGAAAATCAGGTATGCATGCCAACCATATATTAAATCCCAACCTTCCAAAAAAAGAGTATCCTTATTTGTTAAATTAAGCCAGTCACTTAACCAAGTTAAGGCGACTGCATCATAATATAATTTCAAGTTAGGTGCTTTAAGTCCTCCTCTTTCTCGAGCATCCTGTAAGATCTTAAACTTAACCCTTGGTTTCTTCCCAGCCCATATAAAATTGTTAATGCCCTTTTGCCATTCATACAAATTTGCCTCTTTTTTAAAAATAGGTATCATCTGAAACAAAAAAAGGAACTTTGGTAGAACGTTCATTTTTACAGCTGAAATTCTCCCCAACAATGACAATTGCAATTTTTTCCAATCTTTTAAGTCCTTTTGTACTTTTACCCATAATGGTTCATAATTGTTCTTATACAATTTTCCATTTAAAGCAGTTAAGTATACTCCCAAATATTTAACCTTTTTTACCATCTGGAAACCTGTAGCTTTAACCAAATTTTCCTTATCCTTAACTGACATATTCTTAGATAATATCTTAAGTCTTATAATTATTGACTTTAAAACCAGAAACATTCCCATACTGTGTTATAAGTTCTAGTAAACAATCAATCGCTTGATTCGGTTGTTCCAAAATTAAAACCAAACCATCTGCAAAAGCCCACAATTTGTACTCATTCTTCCTTATCTTTACACCCTTGACTACCTTTGATTCTCGAATCTGAATCAATAAAATTTCCAACGTTAAAACAAATAACAATGGGGATAATGGACATCTTTGTCTTGTCCCTTTTTCAATATTAAAATTCTCAGTCAATCCCCCATTTACAACAATTTGTGAAGATTGTTGCTGGTGTATAGCTTTAAGTGCATGTAAAAAATTATCCCCAAAATTCATTTTCTCTACCAATGAGAATAAAAATTGCCAATCTAATTGATCAAAGGCTTTTTCAGCATCCAGAAAAATGAAAGCCACAGGAATCTGGTTGTTCTTATCCAAATACTCAATTATATTTATAATTTGTCTAACATTGTATTTCATGTATCGCCCTGTTATAAATCCTGCTTGATCGCTATGAATCAAGCCCTTCATAACCTGCATTAATCTATTTGCCAAAATTTTTGCAAAAATCTTATAATCAACATTTAATAATGAAATTGGCCTATAATTCTTAGGCTCTGTGAGATCCTGATCCTCCTTCGGAATCAGTGATATAAAAGCTCTTTTCCAAGAAGGAGGAACTTGTGTACCCAACAAAATACTATTAAAAAGTTCCTTTAATGGCCCTATCATTTCTTCAGATAAAGTCTTGTAATACCTCGAAGTCAGTCCATCTGTTCCCGGAGACTTTCCAACCTTTAACTGCTTAATAGCTAAACCAATTTCCTCCACAGTAATTAAACAATACATCCCATTTCGTTGTTCCTCAGAAAGTTTAGGAAAATGCACTGATTGTAAATATTTATCTATATCCAAGCCCTTTATATTATCACTTGAATATAATTTTGTGTAAAAATCTAAAAAAACTCTTTTTAATCAAATTTTGCTGAAAAACCTCAGTACCTTTGTATTTTACTTTCTCTATAATTCTAGCTTTCTGTTTCTTTCGTAACTGATAAGCCAACCACCTCCCAGGCTTATTCGCATTACAAAAAGTATTATGTCTCATATACGACAGATTGGTAGCCACCTGATCTGCCATCAGCATATTAAATTGTTCCTTGAGCATCTTTATAGATACCTTTACGTTATTATCAGTTGGATTAAGAACAAACTCTTGTTCTTTTAATTTAATCTCTTCTTCTATTTCTCTGCATCTTTGTAACCCTTTTTCCCTAAAAACTTTATTCAATTGAATCAAAATTCCCCTCATATATGCCTTATTGGCATCCCAAACCATGGACATCGATATACCCTTATTCATATTTATAGCAAAAAACTCCTTTAAATGCTCTTTACATTTATGTACAAACTCTTCCCGAGTAAACAAATTCTCATTCAGTCTCCAGGGTCTTCTATTCCCATCTTCCAAATGTAGTTCCATCCACACCGGACTGTGATCTGACAAAGTCCTGGGGAAAATTTTCACCTTCCTCACTCTAGAAAGGAAATCACTAGTAATCAAAAAAAAGTCAATCCTTGAAAATGACTGATGTCTATCCGAATAAAAAGTAAAATCTCTATCACTTATATTCCTTTCTCGCCAAATGTCAATGAGCTCCAATTCTTCTTTCAAATTAAAAAATTTTTTAGGTAATTTGGTTTGGGTAAAAGTTTTAGAAGAGCTCCTTTTATCTATAGTTGAATCTAAAACCCTATTCCAATCACCCATCAAAATTACCGATTTGTAATCCAACTGGGATATCTTGCCATGCAAAAACTTGTAAAATTGTTTCTGTTGTTGATTGGGAGCACATAGTCCAACAATAAGAACTTTTTTGCCTTGTAATGATAGTTCCACAAAGAGATATCTTCCTTCAGAATCAGTCTCAATTAATTTAGATGAAAAATTTTTCTTCACATAAATTACCACACCCCCTTTTTTCCCTGGAGCTGGAGCAATAAAATGTGAACCCAAGCGAGGATTCATCAAAAATTTAGAGTCCTTCAGTGTTATATGAGTCTCTTGCAGACATATCAAATCATTGTTATGTTGTTTCAAATAATGAAAAACATTTCTTCGTTTCTGTGGCACATTTAGGCCATTAACATTCCAGGTCAGAAACCTGGCCATCTCCACCGGCCTGGAGCCTCTGGAGCATGCCTGCAGATCAACTGTCGAAGATCTTTTTGGTCTTTCCCCTCCCACAGGCTCTGTAGTAACCATACCTTCAACTTTATCACCACTCTTCTGCTGCTGCTCTTTTTCTTTACGTTTATGGGCAGCTCGTGTCATCTTTTACTCTTTTATCTCAAGATTCTGTACAGGTTGTTCCATGACCATCATTGATGAGGCTCCTGCCACAACAGGCTCTTCCATTAACCTTGTTTGTGGGGGTGACGACGATCTTGCCTTTAAGATAGAATGATGAAAATCTCTTGCCTTTGAAACTGTGGTTAATCTATGACGTATCCCATCATAATTCACTACTATTCCTCTTGGAATCTCCCATCTAAACTGAATTTGATGATGTTTTAACTCATCAGACAGAAAAGTAAAGTCTTTTCTGCCTCTTAAAATTTTGGGAGGTATTTCTTTTAGAATTATCACATCTTGATCTGCAATTTGAAACTTTTGTTTATAAAAAGCCTGTATAATTTCATTACGAATAAATCTTCTGGAAAAATAGATGACCACATCTCTTGGTAAATTTCTCTGTCTAGCAACCCGTGAGTTAACTCTAAAAAATTTTCCTATCTCATTCCCAATTATTTCAGGCCTCCAGCCAAGATTAAGAGCAATATCTTTCACAATAAGCATCTTTAAGTCCTCCTGAAGATTTTCTCTCAACCCCCTGATACACAATGCATATTCCATCTCTCTATATTGTGAAATAATTTGTTCATCCTGTGTAATTTCTATCTTGTTCTCCACCTCCTCCATTCTGGATTCCAATCTTGTTGCATTTTCAGTAATCTCCTCCATTCTGTCGTCAATCCTTTCTATATGCAGAGCAAGGCCCTGAAAAGCCAAAAGGATATCTTCCCTAACTTGCTTGTTTTTTTTCTCCAATAATTCTTCTGTAATAGCCCTCTCTGCAGTTATAAGATCTTTTACTTCCTCCTTAATATCCAAAGCATGCTTTTTTAAAGGTTCTTGTAAATCTTTAAGAGAAATTGCAGGAGGAGAGGGTGGAGGTGATTTTGGTTTCTGAGAAACAGTCTGAGTCATTGGGGAAGAGATAGTGGCTTTAAGAGCAGGAAGCAGGCGTTTTGAAGCCATTTTCTTAAATTCCAAGAAGAAAGATTCTTGTCTTTAAAAAAATCACAGTTCTTTTGAATGTTCTTTAAAAAAATAACAAGGAAAGAAGAAAGGAAAAAATAAAAGCCAAGTTCTTGCTTCTATATTTAAAACATTAATCTGTATCCAGGTTTTAACTTTATAACGCAAATCAAAGAAGAAAGACAATCGCCATTTTGCCTTTCACTTTCCCTTTCTTCAAAAGGGAGAGTGAACAATAAAAAAAAAGAAGAGGGTACTTGCTGGAGTTAAAGACACCATCAATCTTAAGCGCAATTTCTCCTGGTCTGCTCCATCTGCTTTTAAGTACTCACAAGCGGCTAAAATAAGCAGATGTGGAAGCAGCAGCTTGCTTCATCCCAGAACTTCGGGACGAAGGCTTCCTGGAACGCGGAGATGCTCAGGCTCCGAGGGAGCTCTACCCTCTGATCCCCAAAATTGTAGGGATGCAGGAGAGCTCTTTACCTGAGAGCTTTCCTCCTCCCTTTTTCCCAGGGAGGAGATTCAAGCCATGGGACAGCTGATTGTCAAAGTCCCGCGGCTTTTAAACGAACCAGGAACGGGCAGCTTTGTAAAAAGCTGCCATCGTCATCGCTGAAACCACCGGAAGTCTGGGAAAGGGAAGGTTGATTTAAAATATCATCAGTTAGATATGCTTCAATGAAAGAAAGAGTCTGATCTAACTGATATTCTGAAAAGAATGATGGAATCACCTTTATCTAATTCCAGCTGAGACTACAAAATATAACAATTGTCTATCGCTCATCTCGTTGATAAATAAGTGAGTTGGCCTCAACTGATGGGAGAGAGTAGTTTAAACAGGCTGGAAGTAAAGGAAGTTAAATCTTGGCACAATGGGAAATTACAATGTAGCAGTGTTTCTCAGGCTTGGCAACTTTAAGATGTGTGGACTACAACTTCCAGAATTTCCTAACCCTCTGGCTAGGGAATTTGGGGAGTTGAAGTCCATACATCTTAAAGTTACCAAAGCTGAAAAACATTGGTGTAGCAGTAAATTTAATTGGCACCAAACTCCATACAAAAGCATCCTTCCTGCCTTTTCTCTGTAGCTCCTGCATGATTTCCCAGATGAATTACGAGCTGATATTACTATGCACTTGAACAAGGACATTCTGCAGTTGCCGTTGTTTGAGAGTGCCAGCCGTGGCTGCCTACGGGCTTTATCCCTGCACATCAAGACCTCATTCTGCGCACCCGGCGAGTATTTATTACGTCAGGGAGATGCCCTGCAAGCAAATTATTTTGTGTGCTCAGGATCCTTTGAAGTCCTCAAGGACAACATTGTGCTGGCCATTTTGGGTAAGGCCCAGGAAGAAGAGTAGGCAATACAGCATCCATTTGGGCAGGGAGTAATAGTTGCTGGGTCGGGGGACAATGGGGACTAAACAGTAGTCCAGATTTGGAGCTTGTGCTCATTTTCTTTTAGCACAAAGAAACTTTACAAAACATTTTCCAGGGGCATTTTCCTCATGACATTGCTTCCCTCTCATTGTAAATCTACTAAGTCCATTCCATTATTCCAATTTAGAAGCAGTTTCTTACTTCTTTTGATACAAAATATTCCATGTGGATTAGGGAATCTTCTACATGGAACAAAAAAAACCCCTAATACAGTCTGAGGAACCCTTCTTTCTTGTTTTTGTTTCCGGTTTTTTTCTATCTCTTTTTTGTCAAAGTGAAATTGTAATAAATATTTCTCACTAAATGCAAATACCAGATGTAAATCTGTTTAGCATAGCTGTGGAAAAAAATGGTAAGAACAGAGAAAGCAGGCAATTTAGAGTTATTATAATTATAATAAAAATCAAAAACAAAGAAAGAATAACAATACAATCCATCTTCAGCAGGCAAAAGTCTTGTCCCAAGGTCCAGACAGTGTTTGCATTTGAACTTTGTGATAAACTGTGATTTACTTAACTATGGAATGATTTAGCAAGAGTGGCCTAAGCTCACACATTCCATTAAGTCATCAATCATGATTTACATATTACGGAGGACAACCCAAAACTCTAAACGAAAATCAAGCAAATTATTTGATGGCTTTGCATAACTTGTGAGCCACTCATTCTATGACTTTGAAACATTGTTTGAGTATACAAAGGCAAAGGCAGCAATAACCCCTCTGCCTCCTATCCCATTCATACATATCCCAAACCTTAACTTTTTGTAGGTAAAGGAGATCTCATTGGTGCTGACCTGCCCAGTAAAGACCAAGTCATCAAGACCAATGCAGACGTCAAGGCACTGACCTACTGTGACCTGCAATACATCAGCCTACGTGGACTTTTTGAGGTTCTGGAGTTGTACCCTGAATATTCTGCCAAGTTCATGGCAGATATCCAGCAGGACCTCACTTTCAACTTACGTGAGGGTAGTGAGATTGAGGTAGGTAGATATGGATGACATTGCCCTGTGCCTCTAGCTCTTCATCCTGGCAGAGTGAGTCATTCTAAGTGAAGATCATTTGACTTCCGCAGGAATTTTCTTTGTCCAAGCCACTAAACTCCATGCTTCCACTCTGACAGCTCTGGAAGAGCTCTTCTATGTAATAATGGAAAGGAAGTTCTCTGCTTCCTTTACATTTTGTCTCTATCCCACAGCCTTATGCAAGTAGAACAGGAAAGGGGGATTTGATTTTATTCCATATTCTATGTGTTTACCATAATTATGCAGACCAGTGTTTCTCAGCTTTCACAACTTTGTGATATGTGGACTTCAGCTCCCAAAATTCTCCAGTTAATATTCTTGGTTGCTGTTCTCACAATTCAACAAAATGTTGGAAAGAAATTACATACAGTATATAAGCCCATTCCCTCTTGGTTATGTTATCCAGAGCAAAGGATGTATAGCCCACTCTGTTTCCTCAATTGCACAATTTATAGAGATAGACATCAGATGTAGAGAGACTAGGAACATCCACTATACATTACTTCATTACATGGAAGAAAATGCATAGTGAACCTGCTATAATCAAGGATTCCTATGTTAAGCATATCTTCTCTTCTCTTCTCTTCTCTTCTCTTCTCTTCTCTTCTCTTCTCTTCTCTTCTCTTCTCTTCTCTTCTCTTCTCTTCCTGAGACGCAATAATGCCACAGGTCTGGCATAGTTACATTTGATATTGCTGCTATATCTGAAAGTGGCCATATAGTTTATACAAATTTCACCTAATGAAAGCTGCAATGGTAGTTTTAAATTCCTGACAATCTAGGAATGAGACTTCAGGCCCTTAAGGTTTGCCATTAAGGGTTTCCAAATCAATTTGACAATTTAACTTTTGATGCAAGATCAAGGATTTTACTTACAGGAACATTTGCACATACCCAGACAAAGGCTATATCTGAACTCAGTCTAAATCTAAAATCTCAAATGTCTCATGCAGCAGGAGAATTTAGAATTCATTTCTAGGAAATACCTAAGCTCTGCATGCCATGGTCTAAAAAGACTTTTGTTGAGAGTAGAATCACTTATCTAATCAATGGGAATAGGTCTTACATAGATGGTCAGAAAATAAATTAGAGGGTTTTAAATATGGGCTAGTTCTGGGGGAGGCAACCTTGGCTCTTTTATGACTCGTGGACCTCAACTCCCAGAATTCCTGAGCTAGCATGGAATTCTGGGAGTTAAAGTCCACTAGTCATAAAAGAGCAAAGGTTGCCTACCCCTGGGCTAGTTGGAAGCATTTGGAAATATATATTCAGCTAGTTTGAAGCTATACATAAAGTAAATAGAATTGTCTTGCAGCTGCTTTCAGTATATTGATATTCCAAGTGGTGGTGCTGTGTGTTGTCCTGATGACTATCTATTCTTATCTTGACTAGCAATCTTTAATAGCTTTATTTTGCATCAAAATGTCTAGGCACAGAATTTTTAACTGTTTTCAGCTAATGAGCATATTTTGAATTTGGGAAACTTGCTATCTATGTTGCCCTTCCTTCCTTCCTTCCTTCCTTCCTTCCTTCCTTCCTTCCTTCCTTCCTTCCTTCCTTCCTTCCTTCCTTCCTTCCTTCCTTTTATAGGTCACTTACTCCACAGATTCTAGGTAGCTTTAACTGGAAATAATGAAATCCTACCAACATCAAAATAGAAAAGATGAATTACCTAATAATTCTATTAATTCTACACTTCCCCAGACAGTTATCACCAAATCTTCAGACCCTCTTCTCCCAAGGCTTGTTGGAAGAGAACATTTTGCACTGTCTTCTGAAAGGCATAGTATGCTCCCATGTACTAGCATGTACTGTCCTTACCTTAGGGAGTTATGCTATTGAAAAGGCTTCTTTCCAAGAATGCTCCCCACTAACAACTCAAGGGAACAACTCTCAAGACTACTTTCTCAGCCAGGAGAGTACAGGCAGGCAGGTTCATCTAGGACCAGCCAATCAACCAAAAGTAATCTAACCTATTTTGCTTTGCTTTATAACAGTCAGTTTTCCTTTCTCAAAAACTAGGTTTTATATTTTTAGACTTCTCTGTAGCAGTGATTTAAACCTGTGATTATTTTTAATTTATTAGAGGGGCCTTGCCCCCCCCACAAGTTGTATAGGACTAACATGATGTAATTCATAACTGATAACTTCTTTTTTCTAACTCCTTCTAATATTTTAATGTAGCCTATGGACCCCTCTCTGCCTTCACCTGTCTGGTATGATGACACTTTTGTGTCATCATACCAGATGTATGATGTATTCCTATTAGGCTGTTTGGTAGGAATGAGAGCAATTGGTGAGAGAAGAGAAAATTATATTGTAAGACACTAGTCCTCAAGCAGCAATATTCTAGCATCTGATGGTTGTATTGTTAGCCAGTTATGCCATCCAGTCTCTATGTTCAGCTGGTAGCTATTGGGTTCCCTAGGCCAAACTCACAATAAATCTTAATCCCCTAACTTCACAAATCATTTAATTTGATTGCTAAGCTTCACAAATCATTTAATTTGATTGCTTATCTTAAATAGATGACATGGAGCAGCTAGATAACAATGTTCATGAAGCCAAATGGAAGAGCATTTTTTTTTTTTTTTTTGTAGAGGTTGCTATTCCCATCTTATATCTACAGTGGTTTAACCATAGAGCATGGAATAACAGGGTTGGAGCCTGTTCTTCTTCCTATCTTTCACATGGTTCAATAGAGTCCTTTACCTTGTGCTTCATAACCTTGAAACCAAATAGTTGTTGGCATAAATGACATCTCTGTCCTGTGAATGCTGGTCCTCAGTTTTTATAGTATCAGTTATTATTGCATCACCAGTGCAGAAAATTATCTCTCCTGAAGATCATTGCTATGTTATTTGATTTCTTGATAATGACTTTGATGTAGTTTGTGTTGAAGAAACTGGCTGTTTGATAATTCAGAGAAGAGATTGCATAATACACTAGTGCCAAAAAGCCCATAAACACCCCCCCACACACAAAGGATTGGTTTGTAAAAAGTAATTAATTAAATCTTTTCATGTTCTTATTTTTGTTTTTCTTCCAGGGGCTTCTCCGATTTTCCAGATCCCCACGTTTATCCCAGGTAACTTGATGTTTATACTGAGGAAAAAAAGTAGGCAAAGTTTTTTCATTGGATTATGGTGAATTTTGAGGAGTTGTGTGGATGTGAATGAAATTCTGCACTGGGAATACTGAGAGTTATAGTCCAATAAATTTACAGAAATGATATTTAGGATCATTGGCATAAATATAGTGAAACTGCAGAAATAACCATCTTGGAGCCCCTGTACAGTAGGTAAGAGGAAACAAGTGATGGAAGAGACACCATAGCTATCACCTCATCTGCTTTTGTTCTAAAGTCAGCTATCATTAACTAGAGGGTAGAAAGCAAGTAAAAGGGGGGGAGTAATATTTTGGGGGACTAGGAACATGAGGAAAAACCCTCATAAGGACAAGTCCATTATAGCTGTGATGACAGAATGGATGAGGAGATGGTATGACTTTTTTCTTCCATGTCCTTTGCCTGTTGCATTAGCTATGGGATTATTTAGCCCTGAATACTGGGGGCAAGGGGTAATTTGAGAAGTTTCCTTTGTGGCTCAGAGAGTTGTACTTATAATCCTGTCTAGGCCTTTGAATTTAACTCCTTGTCAGTGTAGAAATCCATATTAAAGTTTCAATGCATCTGAAGAGTACCCAGTTGCAGAAGAATGACATAGAAGATTTTCCGGACCGATGAACAGTGACACATAAGGATATTCTGGAAACTTCCTCTCATCATGACCTACCCAGATGAGGGCATTCAGACATGGCATCTTTTTTTAATCAAACAATGACATGGGTTTGGTTATTTGATGTGGTCTTATCCTATTTCAGGGTACTGTAATGATATTTCAAGTTTCATTGCCTATAATTGTTATCTTCCATCCAAAATAAAAATTTGTAAGACAAAGTTGGCATTAAAAGCCCTATATTTTATAGTGAACTGAATTCTTGTGTTAGATTGTGAACTAGTATGAATTTGAGTTCAGATCTTGATCCAGAATTGCTTCTGTTCTCATAAAATTTATTTTTCAAGTGTTGGGTTAGCATATAAATTTATTTCATGTCTACTCTTAGTTTTGTTCATACAATTATTTGTCTTCATCTTGGTTACCACAAAATTATAAAATGGGGAAAAATTGGCTAACCTTCCAAAATCAATATCTATACTCTGAAAGTTATAAAAAGTGGGATATGATGATAAATGAGCATTTGAAAACTAAGGACATATTCATGCACAAATTGCTTACTGGAGTTCATTTATATTTCAACAGTAACACTTTATATATTCACAATGCTGGATTCTGATTACTCAGAACAAGTAATCATTTTCTGGTTTCCATCTTACACTGAATCATAAATTATCCAATTGGGCTTGTGTTTAGATAATGCTGCATGTTAAGCTATTCAAAGTTAACAAACACAATCTTTAGAACATTAGAAAATTGAGCATGTTCTAAGAACCCAGCTAGTGTGTGAGAAAAATTTAAAGTAAAATAGGCTTCATTAATCTACACATTTTTCTTCCCACCTGGCCAGCCTCATCTTCAAAGTTGTGCTACTGCCGCTGAGAAGACCCTACCTTCCATCCAGGAGTACAGTGAGGACTCTGAGGACTTCTTTCAGCCTTCACCTGCCACAATCACACGTCGAAAAATCATGTTGCCCAACCTCAATAGCCCAGTAAGGCGGGGTTCACTCAGCAGTCTTCTGGGAGATGATTTGCGTCAGTTCTCTGCCCTGAGGAGAACTTGTCGGTCTCCAGTCCGCTGCAACCGGGTCCACAGTCCTTCTCCACAATGCCGTCAGGAGGAGCGACATTTTGACAGTGACGGTCTCATTGGCCAGAAGCCTAGCAAACTTCTCATTCCCTCTCTCGCACACTGCGGACCTCCAGACCTCAGCCCCAGGTAAGAGGGCCTCATCATGATCCTTGATTTAACTCATGAAATATGTATATATAATACACCATATGTTCTTGAGCATTTGTTCCATTAGTGTGGATTGGACACATAGAAGAGATTCGATCCAAATACAAAGTTCTGTTTTAACCTTAACTAGCACCTTACATTTCTTTAGTTTTAGAAATTTTGGCCCAAATGCAAATCATGATCTAAATGATTCTATTACTTCCAAGATTTAAAAAATAATAATTTGGTCAAATTGATTTCAATTTCTAGGGAAATTTATTTCAGAGATATAGAATGCCAAATATCAGATAAATATGTGAATGGGCTTTGGATTTTGTTGTATTTTTTTTTTCACGAATGCTGCCTATATTTGTTTAGCAGAAGTGGGATAAATTTGCAGGCATAGCTGCCCCCTATAGCAAGGATCAAGCATGTCAAATTTAATTTTGATAGATTCAAGATCTTTATGAACAAGAAGGTTTTACCGAGGATTATCAAAAGAGAATACCTTGGGGAAAAGATTGTTATAAATATGGAATATGGGAGAAGTAGTCTTAGGAAGCCTTCAAAATTTCAGATTTGTTGGTTAATTATGATGTAATTGTGAAAACCATCAGGGATGGTTTTATCACATTCTATTTCTATGGTTTCGTTTGGCAGTTTGTATGAAAATGACTCTATCTATCTATCTATCTATCTATCTATCTATCTATCTATCTATCTATCTATCTAGCTATCTAGCTATCTAGCTATCTAGCTATCTAGCTATCTAGCTATCTAGCTATCTATCTATTTAGATTTGGCATCACCCAATTCCAGAACAACTCTTAGACATGCATCTCAGAAGGGAATGTGTGGGAATTTTGGAAGTTATGATAACTGATAATGAATAATGAATAATTATTTTCTGTAGTTAGTAATGTATCAGAAGTTCTATTGGGTAGGAATTATTGATTTGAACATATGTCATTGTGCAAGCTAATGATTTAGTGTGGATCCCATAGATTGCAGCAATATTCTTTTAACACTTTTGCTCCAGGCTGATAGAATTAATAAAGAAAGTCAGCATTATCTGAGAGCCTCCATAAACCTCTTTGTAACTTAGTTTATTCAAGGCTTAGAAATATATTACTCTACTGCCTCCTTCTACTTCTGATTTTACATTTTCCTTATATGATCAGTTTAGCAGAAAAGGTATTATTTGTTTAGATCTGTTCTAGTACAAATTTCTACATCACTAACAATGCACCAGGAAAGCTAGAAACTTTGGGATTTGGCCAAATGCATGCATACTCTTGTATGTTGTTCTTTAAGATACAGATAAATACTTTCTTGAGTCAAATCAGCAGATGTGAATTCTAGTCCCACCTTAGATATGAAAGCCGGCTGGGTGACTTTGGGCAGTCACTCTCAGCCTAAAACACCAGGCTCAGCCAACAAGCAGGTCAGTCAGTTGCTGGTGTAACCAATGGATCAACATTCAGTTGACCTCCACTCCCCCAAAACAGACCTGCACTAATAGGCAAAATGCTAGGAAGAAAAAAAATCTATGTGCTTTTCTTGACAGCAAGGTAGAAGTGGTTTGCCACTTACTTTAACAAGGATGTTTTTCCAACATCCCAGTCTAACCCACAGCCCTGGTGGTTTCCAAGGCAAATATTAGCCATCTCTGGTTTTACTTAGTTTTTTTAAACCAGTCAAAGATGATTGGGTGCTCCTGTGTAGCTCCTACTGAGCTCATTCTTGATCAGGTGGCCCTTTATGGTAATGTTTTTTTAAATAATATCCTTAAGGTCAGGGTGTCAAACTGCCGGCCCATGGGCTGGATGCATCATGTGGAAGCCTTGCCCACCCCATTGCTGGCAATGGCAAAACTGTCCCGATTCGTTGCACGACATCATGTGACATCATGAGTTTGACATGTCTGCTTTAGGTCATGCTCCACTTTAATTAGCCAGCAAAAATGATTATGCCATTTGGCTTTTCTGTCACATGTGCCAAATATCTTGGGTCAGCATTGCCTAGATTATAATTTTTCATCTCTTTGTGTGGGTATCTGTGTGGATATATATATCTCTGCCCCCATTCAAAGTCTGCTTTCCATCTTCATATGAATGAGTAATTTTTCTCAGTGGGTTATATGGTATTCAGGTTTGGATAATACATTATCCATTTGATTAACAATGTAGATCTGAGTTGCAAATCAATTATGTGTGTTTTGTACACAAGGGCAGAACACCAGTTATCATAGGGGGCACAAAGGAAATAATGGAGAAAGGTGGCTTGTATTCTTTATGCTCAACTTCTTATTCATAGAGAGAAAGTTTCTGAATGTGGAGGCTTTACTTTTTGTCCCATAATTCTTGGCTGATTCCCTGTTCCCACCTCTCTAGAATTGTTGATGGCATTGAAGATGACAGTGGAACATCAGAGACACAAACATTTAGTTTTAATGTGGAACAAGCCCAGCAGACTTTGGTGCAGGATCCTATGATAACAGGTAACCTAGACAACTGAAGAGAGGTTCTTTACAGGTTCTTTACAGATCAGAAGCTACTTATACATTAACCATCATTACTCATTAAAAAATATTGTAGAGTATTACTTATTTCCTCTGAACTCAAAAGAGGGTCAACATGGCTCATTTTCAAATAATTTAAATTAGTCACCTCTTTTTAAAAAATAATTTTATTTAAAATTTTAATTACAATAGTAAGAGATAATGCAAACTGAAAAAGGGAAGAAAGGAAAGAAAAAATGCATGAATACAAAAAAGAAATAGAAAGGGAGGGATAGAGAAAATAATCCTAAGAAAGCAATTTCCCAATGTCATCAATGTAAATATTAATAATTTCACTATCTCTTCACCTTCTCTTAATTAACAGATATAAAACACATATATAAGCAAATCAGTAGAAATGTCTCCTCTAATCCAAGTATCAGCAAAAGATCAACCAGAGCTTTAAAATAATAATAATTATTAACAAATTTATTTGCCACCCATCTCACGCTTCAAGGCAACTAAATAATAACATCAACACATACAAAACTCACCATTCCCTATCTCTATTCCTCACTGTAAGCAAATTCACATTTAGAAGGCATAAAGTGGTCCCAAGTATCCTAGTGTAAACAAAAGACTAAAATTTAATATGATAAAGAGGGACAGTTTATCCTTTTAAGAGAAAAAGCTCAAAAATATCCCTTACTTCAAATGGAAAAACAATTAGATACAAAGCCAATTTAAGTGCTATGAAATTAGGATAAAATAACTGTAGAGAAATAGACTTAAACACCATGTTAACTGTAAGCAAATCCAATAGACAACATGCTTCTATTGCAGCTATCAGCTGCAATAGAATTTCCAATAACATGTCCATTCAAATAAATATTCTATAAATATTTATATTTTATTAATTAGTTAATTAATTAATTTTATATTTATTTTATTTTAATCTGATTATTTAATATACTTATATTCTATAAATATTCTATATTTAGAAGGCATAAAGTAGTCCCAATATCTTAGTACAGGGGTCCCCAACCCCTGGTCCAGGATCAGTACCGGGCTGCAGCATTCCAGCAACCGAGCTGCACAAACAAGCAAAACCCTATCCGCGGGATGCAGGCAAAACACAAAACCACGCCCCTCCCCCCAGTCGGCAGAAAAACCTCTCTCCCTTTAACCGGTCCCTGGTGCCCAAAAGATTGGGGACCTCTGTCCTAGTATAAACAAAAGACTGAAATTTGACATGAGAGGAAAGGATAATTTCCTCTTTAAAGAGAACAAACTCACAAAAATTCCTTACTTCAAATGAAAGGACAGTTACTGTAGACACAAAGCCAATTTAAATGCTATCAGAATAGGATGCATAAAGCAAGTTAGAGAAAAAATGCTTAAACACTAACTATAAGCAAATCACATTATTTTTATAATCCAGATGCCAACAAATCAATATGCCCCATTTCAACCCTGATCAGATAAACTAAGTTTGTGTTCCTTCTTTTTACATAAAATGATGTTACTCATTAATCCATTCAGATGATTATTGATTTTTGTTTTAAATTTCTTCAAAACTTTAAATAGACCAGCAAAACAAATATTCTAATTGCCGTGATTGACAATTGTATTTCCTTCTTAATTTTTAAGGCATCCAATGTTTTTTAATGTCCATTGACAAGTTCTTGTTTAAAGTTTTGTTCATATTGTTCTCAAAACTTTGTTGCATATCTTTTTCTGAAGCATTTTCTATGGGGAATAGACTGTTCCTAAGAAGACATAACACAGCTTACACTATTGATTCAGTGTCCTGATGCAGTTCCTCAAAAATGTCTCTGAACACCATTATAAGTTGCTTGTCTTTTTATGTCTCCAATATCTAAAAGTTTTTCTTTCCTATAAAAATGCATTTATTCTTTAAAAGTAATTTCAAAGTCTTAATATTCAAAACCCAATATTCCATTGTTTCTGAGATTTTCATTGTTCAAAAGTTTCTGTAACCAAAATCTTGTCCTGCTTTTTGCTGTTTATTTTAAATTTTTAAAGATTACAAAGATATATCTCATACATTAATTAGAGATTGAAGGCACTCACCTGGTGTTTCCAAACTTGTCATTTTGAAAGTTCATAACTTCTTTAAAGCAATTAACAGGCAATTTCCAAAAATGATTATCAAGAGAACTGCGAAAACAGAGTCCTTTAAAAGGCTACATTCGAGGCTGGAGTAAATATGGCAAATTCTCTCTCCTCCTGGTTATCCCATGCTTTGCAAGTGTCCTCAAAACAAACAACTGTATGCAACATAGCTTGGGTGATCCATGGATCTCTCTTCATCCAGAGAAAGTTGAAGCAATGATCTACTCATCAGCTCCCTGTTCTTAGTTGCTAATGTTGGCTCCATTATTTACAGAGCCATTTTCTGCATGCCTTTCTTCCCTGGATTGAACTAGTCATTCTATATAGTTGTATTTTAATACTTTACTTGTAAAGGTTCAGTGTAATGTTGGGATACCATTTTGCAAAAATGTTGCATATTGCATCTCAAAATGGGCAATATTACACATGAACCTACATGCAAAGAACAGGATATTACTATAATGAAGAAATGTTGTACAGTATATATTTTAGACAAGTTCAAATTAAAAAAATATAAACTGAGATATGAACAAATCATTTGATTGTTTTTTTTTTTGCCTTTTCTTTTCCTGGGAGGACCCATTAGAAACTCCTCAATTAAGTAAATTGAACTAATTGAAAAACTACAGTTAATAACTTTGGAAACAGCCTAATTATTAAAATATCCTTAAAATATGGAACATTTCTGGACTAGATTTTTAATATGCTTTTGTCCTATCTCAATCATAGAATTTTAATTGAGCTTATAAATAAATAAATAATAATTTTATTACGGTCATAGACCAGCAGTAGACATCACTTTTTACAATATATTAAGAAAAAAATAAATAAAATAAAAATAGTACTGACATTAATAGTAAATAATAACATCCCTGTTAAGAAAATACATGATCTCAAAATGTTGGGGTCACTCCTAGTTTACGTGAGTGGAAAGCCGATAAGTGTGTGAGTAAATATAATGTTCCAAAAATTATTAGAGATATCTCCAAAAAATTGGCGCAAGTTGACAGCTATAAATCTGTAACCAATTATTTTCTTGTAGACATTGCCGCAATACAGTATTTTGCCACTGCATGCGTGATAGAAGGGCTTGGAGGAGAAAGCCTACATAAAAATTGTCTGCCCTCCCTGGCAATCTCTCTAATAAGGGGAGAATATATGCTGACCTATAAACTTGATATAACTCACAGTACAATAAAACATGTGAGATGTCTTCGACTTCTCCTTTACCACATATACATACTCGTTCTGCTATTGGTGGTCTCTTATACCTGCCCTGGAGGAGTGTTGAGGGAAAAATGTTAAATCTGTCTCTGAAGAAAGCTATTCTTTGTTTTGGGAAGGTCAGATCATTCAGATATCTTGCCGATTCCCACACACCCTGTTTGATTCTACCCCTACTGTGGCGAGGCAACCTATTTAGTTCTTCTTGGAACTCCATGTCCTTCATTCTATTGAATACTACTTGCTTTGCTTGGTCAAAGCCTAGAGACATTAAGAATACTGAAGAGAGCCCATAAGAGCTCAGTTTATGATCTATTGCCTGCTTCCAGGAGGAAGGGAAGATGTCAGTCAGCACTAACAAGGACAGTCCCTCTGGAAAGAAATGCATTTTAAGCCAGTAAATGATCATCATTTTCCAGGCTCTTACCTAGATTTTCTAATTGAGCTTAGAAAACATAATTTCCTTTTTAAATCTCCCACATTTTTCCAACCATCCTTCTTTTTTATTATTAACTTTTTCCATTCCCAATCCCCTAAGAAGAAAAAGACAAATTGTCTATAAAGATAATTTTGATTAGCAATGCTAAGATCCCCAAATCTGGAAACATCCATGTTTTGATAAGGGTACAAGCAAATTTAGAGTGGGATAACACTTGGTTTGCATCTTTTTTTTTCTATCTAAAATTTGGCCTCCAATATTTTCAGGAAGCATAATACTAATCTTATATTGACATCAGAGGTGAGGAATATGGGTGGATACTTGACCCTAAAAGTCCATGACCACAGTCTCGATTTAGTCTCTACAAATATGAAAAATCATCTTATGAAAAGCAGCAATTTGTCATCAAATTATGATGTGTAATCTTGAAGGTAGAATGGACAAAAATGGAACTGGATGGACAATGGGTTACCTGAATCTGGCTGATTTCAAATCTTTTCATCATTGCTTTACAAATCTGATAAAACAGAAAACAATAGGTAACGGAAGACTTTCTGTTTGTTTGGAAAGGGAGAAACCCAAGGAATATACAGCCAATTGTACTTTGCTTACTCAGATAGTTCTCTATGTTTGCTGCTATTGTAAACAACAAAAAAGAGAAGAAAAATTATAATCATATTTAAAAATACAATAGTACAAGTTAAAGACTTTTAATTTTAATATTAAAAATGAGGGATAACTAGAAAGCCAGATATGTTCTACATATTTGTAAATATCCTTACAAAACAAATGCAGATGAAACTGAATCTAAACTTACTGCAGCAAATATGTGACCAAAACTGTTGAGTCCTTGGCGAAAAGCAGACGCGAGAAGCAGTTGTAGTTCTCAGGTTTTCTTTTATTCTGTGTTCAGCTTACAGGTGAAGGCTTCAGCAACGCCCAAAACCTCCCAGCCTCTTATATAGGCAATTCCCGGGTCAATGTGTTACTTTTCCCGCGCCAGCACCCGCGCATGCGCACAGGCGCTGGCGACAGCCTGTCTGGTCCCGGGCAGCTTGCACCTGCCCGGGAATGCCTGCAAACGCCCCGAGCCCGTTTGCAAGGCTCGGGACATAACACCCCTTTCCCCCGGGCTAAGACTACTACCAACATACAATTATTTCTTGATGCAGTGTTCTACTCCCCAGTGCTCCTACTGTTT